CAGAGGTTTTTTTCGAAACAGTAAGTATTTTTGTAAATCTATATCGAATAAAAATAAATCTCAACGATTCTATTGTACTCTTTTACGGGATGATGATAAAGGAGAATATGTACACCTAGCCGACTCGAATACGCCATAACATTCGAATATTATTGGAAATTATCACCTCCTTCCTTTTTGGACTCGGTTAGTAAATATCGGAATTGAAATATACGCTACTAATTTTTAATTACCAAAAAAGGCACACACAATTCCGTTTATCTATCACATATGAAAAATCCGAAATTTAATGTAACTAAACTCGTCATCGATGACATTCGCTTTTGTATCATTTGAAAAATTTGACAAAAATGAACCGAACTGTATAATTTTTTAATACTAACTAAATTGTCATTTCACTATATTTCTACAATCATTCCATGTGTAATTAAAGATATCTACCTGTTTTTGTCTGTTAATTTAAGATTTAGAAAATAAATATTTATTTATTGGCCTTTTTTATTTAGAAAATAGTGATACTGGAATTTGGAATATTTTGAACAACCAAATTTTTTATAGTCATGTGTTCTATTTTAGCTACTGAGAATGAACTAAAAATCTTTTTGGTGATAAAGAATATTAGGGTATATGCGAAATAAATGATGGACATCATTACTTGTTTAATTAGAAAGTATTATTAATGAATATCTCGATAGTTATACACAACGTATCGCTGTTTAAATGGAACAGCGCATTATGAAAGTACTAGATTGCGATGTGATAGTGAACTATTCAATACAATATCTATTATGAATGCCCGTGCGCTTCGTGGACGTTGATTAGCCTAGTCTGGTCGGCCACTATTCCAATTTTCATGGCGTAATTCGATCGACCCCCTGATTGATTGTTATTGTAACTTCCTATCTGATAATTTCTAACGTTTTATTAGCTAATTGTAAAAGTGTAAGAAATTTGAAACACTATTATTTATATATTATCACTTTATATGTTACTGAATTATTTAAAGAAAAAATAAACTTTGGAGAATACATTTAAAAATAAACTTTAAAATAAAAAACCGACTTCAAGCACTAGGAAATATAAAATTGTCTTCATCCCATCTGAAGTTGGTTCTAAGACGTATCGAAAAATTAAGCCTCGACTTCCAGAAGCTAATGTGTAAATTATTTTATTATTTTTAGTTCTTAAAGTAGTTTTATTTCTTTATTAAGTACCCTTTGAGTAGACTAAAAATATCACAAGTCCAAAGTATCGTCTTAATTGTGTGTGGTGAAAATTTTTCTAAAATTTTATATGGGACCACTTTTAAAGTATAACTTAATTATTTTAAAAAGATCGGTCCAGTCGATTCCGATAGATTGATGAAGTGAAACATACGGGTCGAATATGGAGCGTCTCCCTTCTGTAAACTCCGTTAAAAATATCGGTATCGTTATACTCGTATTGATGGCTTAGGGTCTTTTACTGTTGTTTTTAAATGAAAAATAAATGAATATAATTAGTGTAACAGCTGTAGCGTGAAGATAAGCTGCTGCAATTCGTGGACTTCCGCGACTAACTTTAAATAAAAGAAGAAAGAAGGCCACATATACATTGTTACCCCTGAGGACCAAGGTGGAATTCGTCAAAATCTGTAATTATATTTGCTGTTTATATATTATTCCAAGCCGAATTCCGGTGGGTTCATCGTGGCTTAGCGGTTAGTAGTTATGGTGATGTTTTTGGTAGCACCATCACTATAACAAGAGGGCGTCTAGATAGAAAAGGAGCCATTTTGTCTAGTAATACATCAGAAATATTCAGACATATTCGGACAGCACATATTTATGTTCAATTGTGGTTAAATATGTAGATTCGATGCATGTATCAAAGAATGCTGGTCGGTTATTGCTTTTGTAACTAAAGGCGTAATTCATAGCGTGGACGCATAGAGCGCTATCTGATGATTGGTTTTTGGCAATTAACAGTATTGCTCACACCGCAATCGCGGTCATTCACCGTGTGAAATATGTATGGGTTGTGTTTACTCACGTCTTTATTCACATTGTATAGTTACAATATACGTTATATGACAAATAACATTAGAAAATGATAAAAGTGACGTTCTTTTAATCGATCCGAATAATTTAATAGAATGAAGAATTTTTTTCGGACGTCAAGATTCACGAAATGAGGCATTTCTTAAAATGTTTTCACCACCAATCGCCAAGCGTGGAAACTTTTGCGAATTCTGCCTCTATAAAGCTATCTATTAGGGAGGCGTTTATTCACCATAAGACTTTTGATAGGCTGTGTATGCATGGGCATCTTCCAGTATAGGAAGGATTTTTGATTTGAAATAATAAATGAGAAAATATTGACAAAGCAAAAACTTATAACATAGAAGTGACTGACAGAGGCGGTAAGAGGTGCCCTAGATGGTAAACATTGAAAAAATATTTCATATTTCATTTCATTTCATATTTCGTATATTCATCTATCGGATTCAATGAGATTTGATGATGATGATAATCAGGCCTAATAAATAAATTGTCGTCTTGAAACGGGACGAAATAGCGTATTTGATTCTCCTATTTCTACTTCTACTAGTATTTTAACATCTACATATGGTAAGGTAAGGTAAGTGTTTTTATTTAAAAAATGTTTTTATCGGCTTAGTCCAGTCTAGATAATTCAAAACAAAAATTGCTTTTTTCTACATTTTAATAATTGTAATAAGAAACCCATGTTAATTAAAACAGCTTTATCTTAAGATTTCGAGGAAACTAAAGTGATAAGAAGTCAATTAAATAACTGAATTAATGTTTTGACTGTGAACGAAAGAAAGTTGTCAAAAAGCTTTTACAGAAGCTATAAGAGCGGTAAATACGCTATGAAATCCATTAACAGTTTTAACGCGGACATTACAAAATACAGAGGTGACCTAAAATCGTCGCAAACATTTTAATCACTAACAGTTGATAATGGTAAACCGACGGAAAAATTAGCTTTTGATATGAAAACAGTGTGAACTTACTAGCAAGCAGGGTTTATAAAACGATATTTTCTTTTGTTGAGTTACAGTAGTTTTATACACCTAATGTATTTACGCATTTAAGAAACATCTTATTTATTAATTTATAATAAAATGATTGCAGCTTATTTAGCCATACCACTAGTAATTGTTTATTCTATTTCTTCTTTGTAACTCTTAAATTTTGTAAATTAACTACATATAAATCAAACTGATTTTTTAACAATTTAAAGAAATTAAATTTTTATTTCAGGTGTACATTTTTTGTGCCGTTTCTCATGAAGGGACATCTTCTCGTCATATATATTTCTCAAAACCTGAAAACAACGTTGTAAAGGTAACGGCTTATGTACTAATAATTTATGTTTTTAATTTCATAAATAGGTATGAATGAATATTTATTTTGTTTGTTTGTTTGTATTCTATTCGTTACCATACTAAATATCCGATTACGTTTAAGCTTTGGTGTTGTTGTACGTATATTCACCAAGATTTCTGTCAAAAGAGACATTGCAACATATGCCGGCACAGCTAGTACTTTAGAAAAACAATTTTGCCAACCCTTTGTCTTAAGACGCCAGGTCACTGTCACCGTTCCGCTTGACATTTGTACAAAGGTCGTCCCGAGTTAGTTTGCTTTCCTTTTACTTGTTACAATACTCTTTATAGAGCGAGAAAGGGTGTTATTGTTTGTTTGGAAATTAACCTTTAAATTTGTGGAGGGATACGTTTCAGAATTTCTATTTGTAAGTTATATAGGAGAATAGTTAACAGTGGTAAGTGGTAATTTCAAATTCATCTTTGTTATTTTAGTTCATTATATTCTATAAAACTATTGCTTGTATCGTAGGCATATAATTTAAATGATTTGAATTATAAGTTGAGTAAAATCCTTTTACCAATCTCATCGCTGTATCGTATACACTAAACGTACTTAAATTTTACTCTTACTAAGGTAATAATCTCTCATTCCAAAGCAATATTATATGCTTTGGACAGAAAGATTTAGTGGAAACTTTACATGTGATAAAAACTACCCAGATTACGATATAGTTTATATCATAGATAGGATTAACTTAAAAAAATATGTACTTAGTTAACAAAAAGCAATCAAATGGTTTTGAAAAGCTAGTATTATATATATATATATATATATATATATATATATATATATATATAATATATATATATATATATATATTATATAGTATATTAGACAGTATATTTTGCACCGATAACAATTCGAGTTTTATCATTATTAAAATCCCGTGAAAAAGACTTGAGTTGAAAATCAACAAATATTTCACTGTTCCTATAATTTAAAGAGAGTATGTGTGATCACGTATACCGTGAGCATGAGAACGCGTAAAAACAAATTCAGGTATCATCAAGACTTACACGGTACGAGATCATGTCGTGTGAATAGACACAAATAAATAATTGAACCACTATAAAGCATTATGCTATAGACAATTATGGAAGAAACGACCGATGAGTCGGTGGCACGGAAACTAAATCGCCAATACATAAGTATAATACGGCCCCAGTTATTGCAACATGAGAAAATAATAGTTTTCATGTTGGAAATAAATAACGCGCTGTGGAAGAAGACAATGGTCCTGTAATAAGATCTCTTGTTAATTTTGGCGAATGCGAACCGCGCTCGTGATCGGAGATTTATGAAGGCATTGAAATTACACCTTGTTTGTTCTTTTCACGCCGGAACGTGTCTACGACTATCGAACAAAAGAAATTTTGTAATTTTATAGACGAGTGCCCAGATTTAATAAGAACGATTTTTTTTTAATTCCCAACGTGATAAAATAAATGTTTACAAGTTAACAAGCGGCTTATCGAGTAATTTAATTGCTATTTTTTTGTTTCAATAAAGATCCATTTTTATCATGAGATATTACCATGTAATTTGAAACATAAATTTAGTGTAGTTTGAAGCTTTATAACCTAAATCAGAAGTTTCAATACGCACCTCTCATTTTTTGTTCGTCGAGTAATTGTCTCTCCAGGTTGTCTTTCACCTCCCGTTCTCTAAGTACATCCATCTTCAATTCAGCTGCAACAAAAGTAAAACATTAGAACATATTTGAATACAAATATATTTGTTATTTGAAACAAATAACTTTCATGTATACAATGATTATTATTAAATAGACCTAATTGGTATATGGTGTCAAATTCCACAAAAATATTGTGACATGTGACAAATTATTAAAAGTACACATCCGTACACAGTTATCATTCCAAATATCTAAAAAGAAAATATTAAAAAGGAAATAATTTAAGTGTAAGTGTAATTAATAATCATGTATGAAAAATGCGATTGTATTTAAGGTATGTTTTGAAGAGATGCTGTAATTTACGTTGTAATAATATATTTTTAGGCTGATACTTACAAATATATAATAAAAGTTGTTACATTCCTAATTCAAATTTTCTAATTAAATCGGCAAAATAGCAAAAGAATAAATATAAAATAGGTTTACATAAACAATGATTTACGTTAAATAGATGGCTCATTGTAAGCAAAAGGCATTGTATAAATTTAACAGTGAGCTAAACCCGTAACAAGGCCGTAAGCAAGGGGCCGATTAAGAACATAAACACAGATTAACTCATTCGGAATCCCGGTACCATTGTGAAGGAGTCGAATTGAGAGATTTGCATAACTTTCAATTAAATGTAACCTGACGGAAATGATTGGGGGAGGAACTTCCGATTCGGTTATGTTGTGAGATCGCATTTCTAGCGCACATCACACTGGCACGTAACCTGTTTATCAAATAATTGACTACATGATTTTGAGTTCCACCACTTTGGTGCTTTTAATAATTTTAAAATAATTTTAAAGGCAAATGTATTTTCATAAAGTTTCGTTTAGTTGATGACAACTGTCTTAATGAAAAATCAGTATAATCTAAATAAGGTTCTAAATGAGATTCATTATTGATTCACGGATTAACGTAAAGTAACGATACACGTGAAAGCGGACGCATCAAGTACAAGTCGAATTTGAATAGAAAGAGGTCATGCCGGCTCACAGTTTAATTTGGTCCCTAATTCAATTAGCCACCTTAGTCGCATCTATCTAATGGAGGTCGTAAGGGGATCAGGCTGATTAACTCGCGTAGTTAGCACCTACGGCTACAGCTCCTCTTGGTGATTTTACTTGAAAATCCGATGCTTTGTTCTCGTAACAGTAAGACTGAGAGTTTGAGTCGACGTATGTATATGTATTTATATTCAAGCTGTGCCTGAAAATTTACTTTAAAAACGTATTTTCTATCAGTCAATATTTTTTTGAAATTACATTAAACAAAGAATACCATTTTTCTGTGATATACTTAATGTACTTTTTATAGAACAATGTAAATGAAAAGCCGTGTTAGGTTAGACAAAAAGCGCTTAACTTATCGTACGCGAGCAAACCGATTTCGATCCTTGCCGTGCTTACAGTAGAGGAAAATATCCTGAGAATACCTGAAATATGTCTGAAAATTCAAAAAAAAAATAGAGGACTTGTTAAGTCTGCTAGCACGCATTGGATCCATACTGCGGACTGTACCTTGTCTTATAACCCTCTCAGGAATGAGAAGAAGTCTGTGCCCAGCACTGGAAACGTATAAAAACTTTTGGGCTAAACGAATGATGAAACCACTGTAACATATAAATTACAACTGTTAGACATTGCTAATAAACTAGCTGTAAGTTTTATGCCGAATTATAAATTTTATTAATTTAAATTAAGAAAATCTTCGAAACAAAAAGAACTAATGATCTTCAAACGGCTGAAAAGATTTTCTTGGATTACAGCTAAGAACACTCTGGATTAAGACATTATTCAAACAAAAAAAAAATTAAAATAAAATTGGTACATCCGTTCAAAAGCTATGATGCCATGGACAGACACACAGATACACAAACACACGCTATAAACTTATAGCAGTCCTCTATTTTCGTCGGCAGTTACTAACGGGTTAATATTTTTCAGTTTCTTTTAATATTTATCAACCACTGACCACAAAATAGTTGTTTCACCATTTTTATGCAAATTCGAATGAATCATGAATACATTGGGCAAAATATATTTTTTTTTTAAATTTGATTTTTACATATATATAAAGTACAAGATTTTACACAAAAATTTACAATACACTAATTGCCAACACAGACAGGATGATAAGCTCTTTAAATTATACTACTATAACTCTAAACAAGAATTTCGCGAAGTGAATAAATTCAAAGAAATTCTATTTAAGCTTAGCTGTTTCAAAATGAATTAAATTTCTCGCTAACTGGTGAATGAAATGGAAATAAGTTGTTAAGTTAAAGATATCTAGGTGTTAGGGCAGAAGCCGAACAGAATGTCTACCTAGGAATGCGAATGGTGCCATCCTCTTACCTATTTTTGTCTATGTAGGAGTATGTGCAGTGCACTGCTGTATTACTACAGGGCATAAGAGCCAACATATAGTTACAGGCTGTGGTGGCATTCCATCTTAGTTCTCGGGCAACAGCGCCTCTGCTGCCTTTTTTGTTTGAACATAGTTGCAGGTGTCCATGGGCTGCCTCAGATACTCACAATCAGGTGGATTTTATAACAAAAAGAATATGTAAACTGTGTATTAAATTGTCTTTATGCGAAACTCTGCTAAAGTCTTTTAATTAGAGTATATTCAAAGTAATCTGTACTGGATATATTTATATTAATAAATTTAAGTTAATAAAACGTGATTCACAAACATAAGGTACGCTTGCAACGAATTACGGACCCGCAATTATCGTGTTCTATTCAATGAGATCTGTTGCGCTTATTAATTCTGATAGGGTTGTAATTAAAATTGCCATATCGATTTATAGCCCAATCTATAAATGCATATTACATTGTTGTTCATAATAATACCACATAGTTATTGTTTTATTTCATTTGATATTAATTGAAGGTATCAATTGTCCGTGAAAAAATACTAGTTACCCTTTTTGCAGAGAGATACCTTACCTAACTACCCGTGATTATGTAATGAGTTCTGTCGATGCAATTAATTCTATCAAACTATATTCATCAGTGGCGTAAAAGCTCTTTTAAGTTAAGTAAGTATTTAATTAAATGGTGGGAGCTCATTTTTTCTTAGAAGTCCATCTGAATAGGTACCGCCTCCACCATTTCTGTCGCCAAGCAACAGTCCATCTACTTTTATGTTTCATTCAATTTTTGTTCTATTAAGCGACGCTGAAGACGTAGAAATAAGCCTAAGCCTTCTTGTACAGGGATACTTTTTCCGTGAATAGCGGCAAATGCAACTAATTGCAACGTTATAAATGTAAAAATCTTTTATAAATTAAATAGGTAATTAACTGAGTTACAGTTATGGTTTCATTTTTGTTTCGGTGTCCATCCGAGTATCACCTTTACTTATTTCTACAGCGATGCAAAAATGCCAACATCAGCTTTTGCACTTAAGTGTTAGAATAGGCATTCCATCTTAATCCGCAAAGGTAGCACATGTGTTGCCTTTTTTCTTTATTTGTTTCATGTAGCTTAGATACTTTTGATACCATGGGTGGATCGTTAAGTTATTTGAAACTGTAATATCATAAAAATATAATAAAAAGCAATTGCTAGAACCTAATTGAACGAACATTTACACGAAATTTCATTATACACGAACAAACTATATACGCAATCTCATATATAGCGATGTTTTTTTTTCCACCGGCACTACTTAGTATGTTTGTATTAATTTTAAATAAGCAGTATATCTTACTTTATCAAGTGCTTCGTAAAAAAATATTGAAGAAAAATTGATAATCAACAGAACATTCGCGATTTTTTTTCATTCCATTTTCAAACCGTATTGTAGCTTGGTTGTAGCAGTGTATGCCTATATTAGCAACAACAAACTTTAAAAATTACGGTAAAATTTCGAACTACCAGGTCCTGGACCTTGCTACTCCTTCTAAGAAGAGGTTTCGTTTGTGAGTAAGAGGCAGCCGCTCAAAAAACTTTATCCTTTATCGGTTGTCGGTTCAACTACCTCTGTGGTCCATTACCAATTGTACTTACTAATCTGTTAAGGTTAAGTCAGTTAATTTCATACTACTGCAGATATACTCGATAAAGATACAAACTCAGAGCCCTCTCTTTGGCTCCTCGCTATTTGACTGTGCCTCCCTGTGCGGTTAGCAATGAAGAACGGCATCTTGAGTCTTGATAGCATATTTTCTTTTAGGGTCCTGATATGCACTGAACGAAATGTCTAGTAAGTAAACAGAGATACGGCCCAGGTGAGTTATATAAATCTGTCGAACATTGGTTATTATATTTCCTCCCTGTCCAATTTGTTATTTTTTTTCTCTTTTTATAGAATAAGGGTAACAAATGAGCACACAGTCCACCTGATGGTAAGAGGATGCTGTGGCCCATAGACATCTACATTTAACCTCGATTAAGAATCAAAATGCAGATGCGTTGTCACCCGTGAGGACTAAGATGGAATGCCTCGATTCCAGTAAAACGGGTCTCCGGTTCTCTACACTCACCATACGAAACACAGCAGCATTAAGCTGCTATTTTACGCTGGTATTCTGTGAGAACGTGGTGCTTCCCCGTTCGAGCCTACCCATTCGTGCTACTACCATATAATACCTGCAACGTGGCTCTACCACGTATAAAATTATTATGACCCATAACCAGTTGTAATATGATAAATATTACTGTATTATATAATGTTATATTGTATTCGAAACTATCGAAATTTCAAACATATAAAATATCATATATGTAAATATAAAAGGAAGAAGTAACTAATCGTTTCGGAACTTGGATCATATCGACTAACAATAATACGTACGATAATATGGAGACAAGTTAACTTGTGGTTGTGCCTGACCAAGGTCCGTAATAAGCAAGAATAAAGCGGGTTCGAGCTCCCGGCGGATTATCTCAAGTTCGGATCTTGTAAATTGAAACGTTGTCTTGCTCATTGTGCTGTTCGCTGTTTTATTTCATTTCTCTGACTTTATATTGTTTGGTAATTATATTGAGGGATTTTAGGA